CCGGATCTCTGCCTCCTGTGTAGCTAGGATTACAGGCGCGAGCCACCGGCAAACCAGCTGAAATCATTCTTGATTCTTCCTTTTTCAACATATTCCACAGTCTCACTAATTTCAGTCAACCTCTCTTTCATGTCTTTGCACTCTGCTTCTTTCTATTCCCATGCTTTTTGCCTGGCCACATTTTTTTCCTTTTATCATTTGGATCATTTTGCTTCTCACCCAGTCTCCCTGCCTCACATCTTACCTGCTGCCAATCCATCTTCCACAGTGTTGCCAGAATAATCCTTTCACAATTAAAATCTTTTAAAGGCTTTCTGTTTTCCTTAGGGTAAAAACCAAGCTCCCTGGTGTAGGATACAAAGCCACTGATGACCCGGCTGTGGCTGTAGTTCTCACCAGATCCATCTTTGAATACTTCTTTCTAGCCAATTTGTATCATTTGCAGTTCCCAGAAGGTGTGAAGCTAATTCATATCGCCCAGGCTTGAGCCTTTTCTTATGCTACTCTTTCTTTTTGGAATATCTTCTTCCACTTCAGTCAGACTAACTCTGGTTCATTTTTCAAAACTCAGCAAGTAGAGAGCAGTAATTGAGTCTTATCATCTCAAGTCTCACCACCTTGCATGGTGCCCACCGTGGAGGAGCCATTCAAGAAATGTTCATGGCACAGTGTGAGTGGGCACAATAGTTTTGTGGTTGATGTTGTTGTTTTGGTGGCACTGGGGTTTGAACTCAGGGCTTCATGCTTGAAAGCATGTACTCTACAGGCTGAGCCACCCCTCCAGTCCATTTTGCTCTGGTTATTTTGGAGATAGGGGTCTCGTGCACTATTTGCCCAGGCTGGACTTGAACCTCAGTCCTCCTGATCTCAGCCTCCCAAGTAGCTAGGATTACAGGCATGAGAGACTGGTGCCTGGCTCAAAAACAAATGTTTGTTTTGTTTTGTTTTGTTTTTGTGGTACTGGGGCTTGAACTCAGGGCCTACACCTTGAGCCACCCCACTAGCCTTTGTTTGTGATGGGCTTTTTTGAGATAAGTTTTCTCGAACTATTTGCCCGGGCTGGCTTTGAACCATGATCCTCCTGATCTCTGCCTCCTGAGTAGCTAGGATTACAAAGTTTAATGAATGAATAGATTAGACAAGCAGTTCCTGGACACTGGGTAGTCTCTGGCATGCTTGGCTGGACCGTGTCTCAGCCATTCCCCCTTGGACTAGCTCTTCTCACACAGACATCTCCCTTCACATCAATAACGCAACTGATAAAGCAAATTCCAAATTCTGTCCCACCTCATTCCTTATTTGCTCTGTGACTTTGGGAATGTCATTTATTGCCACTGCACCTCCAGCCTTCGTGTGCAATAGGGGTTAATAAAAAACGGGAGGATAAGATGAATTACTTAAATTATATCTATTGAACTAGATACTGTGCTAAGCACTGTGAAATGAATTAGCTTGAGTGACAGTAAATATCTCCAGGAGACAGATTTTATACCCTTTCTACAGACGAGAATACTGCAGCACAGAGCAACTAGGCAGGGAACTTTTGGGTAAGTGGTTTTGGAAGATTTTGGGTAAGTGGCTCTATCATAGGCCACATTAGGAAAAAATGAAACACACAGGTCTCTTCCAACCCTGCACAATGAGGATTACCTTATTGTCACAGCCTTCTCCAGCCTTAGGTATCAAGGGTAAAGGTTCAAGCCCTTCTCAGTGACCCACATTTGGTGCGCACTGTATGTGACCTCCAGCTCCAAGCCCTCAGGGTCCCCTGTGTACTCCTACCACCTGTGACAATGATCTCTAGCATTCATTCTGCATCTCTATTTTAAAGCATTTTTACATCATCTTATCTTGCTAGATCTGAATAAGGAAGGGATGAGTCTTCCCGTCCCCCCCCCACACTTTTTTTTTTATGGTACTAGGGATTGAACTCAGGGCCTTGAGTTCACTAGGGAAGCACTCTGCTCTACCACTTAATCCATGCCCACAGCCCCAGTCTTCCCATTTTCAAGATAAAAGAAAAATTGAGCGACTCACCTAAAGTCATATACTATCACAATAGCTGCCATCAGAGGCTGGCCTGCCCATGTAGCCAAGTGGACATATTCTGCTAATTGACTGGGAGGCAAAGGAGTAGCCCTGTGGACAAACCACAGACATGCCAGATAGACCTGGGTTCTGAACCCTTCTAGTCACAGAACTACTGTAGCTCAAGAGGGAGAAAAAATTAGCATAGTCCAGAAAAAGAAGGTCTGTTTTAGGAGATAGTCTTCTAGTCTGGACAGAATAGAGAAATTAGGAGCATCTTCAGGGCAGAAACTTATCCTACCTTTGCATCCTGGCACCTAGACAGTTCCAAGGACATGCATTGTACTCAATAAATGCCTTTTGATTTGAATAGATTTGGAAGAAAGGAGGGAAGGCGCTTGAGAGAGGTGAGAATCAAGAATCAGGAGACAGTCTAGAAAGAGAGAGTCCAGGGGAGAGACTCCTAACATGTGGCCCTTGGTCCCTTCTCCAAGCCCTTGGGGAACCCTCCAGAGGAACAGGACCTGTGGCTTTAAATGACTTCAGCATTGTCAATGAATCTGCTCTGCTAAAAGAGTTATCCTCTGCTCCTGCACTTGGCCTCCCCCTCCTCTCAGCTCCCCAAACCCTTCTCGGCCGCTGTGATGGTGATGGGATAATTAGATGCGAGAGCTCAGCACAGATGATGCTCCAGTTGCCTAGCAACTAATGGTTTCCATGGAGACCGCAAAGCACAGCCTCCAGAGCAGCCAGTGAGCAGCTCGGCAGGGCAGGGAGAAGACGCAACTCTCTGCTCCTCCAGAAACCTGGGGAGGGCTGGGGTGGGTAAGGTGGGGGGATTGGAGGGAGAGGGGAGGGCTTAAAGGCACAGGGCCCTCATATTTCTTTAAAATCTGGTCCAAGATCTGCCCTCTCTACCCCACTCTGTCTCATCCTAATTTCAGATGGGGGCAGGAGCTTAAGAGTGGACCCAATACAACCTACCCTGCAATAAACCCAAGCTCTCCTCTCTGCTTCCTGATTATGACCGAATGGGAAGAGATACCTCCCAAGCTCAAATGTAAACATCCTGCCGAGTGGGTGATGGGGCTTGAGAAGTGCCAGGAAGATTCCCCAGCCTGACATTCCACCGTTAAGTCTGCTCTCTCTCTCCCCTAAGTTCTCCTTCATGTGCGAAGGATCATCTTTCAGTTTGTAGAGTGGGGGGAAGATCTGATCTAAAGGGGACAAAGGCCAAGGGAACAGGAAAAACAGAATTTGATTCTCCACCCAAAGGCAGCATGTCCTGGCAGACCTTGCCTGATCTCCATCAGAGAAGACTGTTTGTGTTCGTGTGTGTGTATGTGTGTGTGTGTGTGTATGGTGTGGGTCAGAGTGTATGTAAGAGTGTGTGTGTGTGTGTGTGTGTGTGTGTGTAAGAGAGAGAGAGAGAGAGAGAAAGAGAGGAAACATAGAAGAGCACAGAAGAGGTAGCAATATTGAGCACCCAGGTCCACCTATGGGCCTCTCAGAGGAGCGCTACCATGTTACCTGGAAGAGCCTTAGAAATGCCGAGTTTCAGGCTTCACTCAGACCCACTGAATTAGAAACTTCATTTTAATCAGATCCCTGTGATTCATATGCACTTTCAATTTGGAGAAGCTCTAAGGCCCTCCTACCCTCTGCCTGGGGCCCCTGAGTTTTCTCTTTACTGTCACCCCATACACATACCCCAGGCTTTGAACATGTCCTTCCCACCATTCTAGCAAGGACACAATTGCACCAACTCTTAGCCCTCATGTTCCTACTAGGATCCTTTTCTGGGCCTCGGGGGAAGGTAGGACGGTTCAAGAAGCCAGGAGACCATCTTAGGCCTCTGTAGAAACTCTACCACCTGTGCAAAGCACGCCACTCTCCACAAGTGATGGCCCAGCTGAGTCTGTTTCCACACCTACAAAGGCAGTCAGGGACATCCACCATCCAGGAGGGCTGTAGGTCAAGTACGTGGGAAAATGCAGAGTCCCTGTCCAGTGCCCAGGGTAGGGGTGTCTAACTCTCCTCATTCTCCTCCTTTGCTTCTCCCTAATGGAGGCCAGAGGGCGGGGATGGCCAGAGAAGCTATCTTTTTCATTTTCTTTTAGCAGGTCTCTTTCCCTTTTATTTTGTGGGCTGGGCATGGAGCCCAGGGCCTTACATATGCTAGTACCACTGAGCTACTCCCCTAGCCTCCGCCCCACCCCCCACCTCTATCTCTTGTTGGATTTTTTTGTTTTGTTTTGTATTGTGACAGGATCTCATTCTGTAGCCCAAGCTGGCCTCCAACTCTCAGTCCTCCTGCCCCTGCCTTTCAGCCTTCTCTTGTTTATTCTCAATAAGTTCAACAAACCTTTACTGCCCAAAGTGACTGTGCCTACTCCATGTCCTTGCTGGACAGGGCCAGTGTCTACCTCTCTAGTATCTCCCTCACCTCCCTTGTCCCCTCCCTCCAGAGGAATCTGAAGGCCTATATTATCAGTCCCCAACCTTTCCTGAACAGCCATAACAGGAGTCTCTGACAACACCAAGAATTGGAACCCTTGGCCTTACTGGCCCCCTCCCTACTACCAGTCTCATTCTCACCCAGCCAGGCCCTTTCAGGAGCCCTCAGGTCACTCTCTTTCTACACACCAGGACAACTGCAGAACTCATGGCTCTCCTGGGAAGACCACCACAACCTGGATGTAGCAGCCCCTACAGGCCAGGCTACATACACACGCTCCCCCACACACCACAGGTACACTGCCTTAGGCATAGGAGTTCCAGCAGTGAGCCTCTGCACCTGGCTAAGCAACCCTGCACTTCTGCCATGAGGGCCAGCTCCCCATCCTGAAAAACCTGTCTGGGGGCCCTCCCCAAGACTATAAGGCCCAAGGGGCAAGTTGGACTGGATTCCCCTCCGCCCCTCCCACCCCAAAACAAAATCAGCCACCCCAGGGGCTGGGCCTCACTGGCTTCAGGAAGCCCCAGCCTGCCAGCACCTGTTCCAGGTTCCTGCTCCCAGCCCAGCATGGCATCCCCCCTGCCTGTCCAGACCTTGTCTTCCATCCTGATTCTGCTGGCTATCCTCGCTCCAGGGGCTGCAGGTCTCTCCATCTCTGGGAGTGGGGAGTAGTTCAGAGGTCTAGAAGAAGGCACAGTGCCTTCTGGGCTCTCAAAGGGAGGGTGATCTGGCTGGTTGGGGGTGGGGGCTGGTGATGGCAGTGATCAGGCATCAGATACAGGGTCTGTTCCAGTCTCAGGAGTTGAGAAGCATAGGGAAGGCTTCGGGTGGGGGTGAGTTTGGGCGCTGCCTGGCTCCTGGCACCCTAGGGTCTGGCTCCCAGGCAACTCAGAGAAGCACCCAGCTTCTGTAGCCCAAGTCTGCCACCTGGTGGTCATATTCACAGAGACAAGGCTGTTCTACCAGGAGTGCAGAGGAGAAGGGAAAATGGACTGAACCCTTAGCAATGGCCCCGGGGGGGGGGGTGCAGCTAGATCTGATGGCTGGGGAAGAGGGTTGATCCCCATCTGAGCCCTCTTCTGGCCTCCCAGCAGACTTCAACATCTCAAGCCTGTCTGATCTGCTGTCCCCAGCACTAACAGAAAGCCTGCTAGTTGCTTTGCCTCCCTGTCACCTCACAGGAGGCAATGCTACACTGATGGTCCGAAGAGCCAATGACAGCACAGGTCTGTCACCCCCCTCCCCAGGACAACCCCAGCATCCCCTCCCTCATTCACACTTCCCTATCAACCCATCTCCCAGGGTACCCACACTCTAAAAGCTGCCCATTCTCTTGGAACCTCCAGAAACTTGACCCTGACTTTCACTCCCAATTTCCTGCCCAGTGGTGAAGTCCAGCTTTGTGGTGCCTCCATGCCGGGGGCGCAGGGAGCTGGTGAGTGTGGTGGACAGCGGGTCTGGCTTCACTGTCACTCGGCTCAGTGCATACCAGGTGACAAACCTCGTCCCAGGAACCAAATACTAGTAGGTAACTTAGCCAGGCCTGGGGCACCTGCAGGATGGGTGTGCAGGAAGGAAAGCTGGGATGGGGATCTGGTCAGCTGGAGAAACAGAGGGCACAGCCCGAGGGCATGAGAAGTAGGTCTCTCCTTCTGCAGAGTACATGGGAAGACATGGCTATGAAGGTGGGGGGACCAGGCTGGAGCCCTTCCCCCAAGTCCAGAGACACACACACTGAGGCCAGGCACCAGTGACTCACGCTTATAATCCTAGTTACTTGGGAGACTGAGGATCAGGAGGATCAAGGTTTGAAGCCAGTCTGGGCAAATAGTTTGAGAGACCCTATCCCCAAAGCGACCAAAGCAAAATGAACTGGAGTTGTAGCTCAAGCAGCAGAGCCCTGAGTTCAAACCCTAGTCCCACCAAAAACCAAAACAGATACACATTGAGAGTTCTTTGCTCTCTCTCTCTCTCCCAAATCCCACCCCCAAAGCCTTTCCTACCGAGTACAGAAGGGGACATCCACTGAGTCCAGTAGAGAGACCCCAATGTCCACCCTTCCTCGTAAGTTCCATTCTGCCTTCCTCACCCTTCAGGGCCCACCGGCCTCCCCGAGCCTCCCCCCACCCCCAAGTCCTGGTGAGCCGCACCCCGTCCTCCTCAGCACCTTTACTTACTTCCCCTACTGCTGAATGCTGGGCCTGCCAACCTCCTGTGGACAGGACAGTGTGGGTTACTGAACTAAAGGCTCTTTGTGGGTAGGATGGTATCCTTTAACTTCTGAATCCCAGTAACTCACGTGGAAAAGGCTTTCTAAATGTTGGTGTGTGTATTGGGGGCCGGGGGCATTGGTTGGTGGCTGATTGGATGGCTGGATGAGTGGCTAAGCTGTGAGCCTTGGGGACACTAGGGACTCCTCCTACTTACAAAGGCCTCCCCATTCTCTCTGCTGACAGGAAGGAGCATGGAGTCTATTGAGTTGGGAATGGCCCGGACTGGGGGCATGGTGGTCATCACAGTGCTGCTGTCTGTTGCCATGTTTCTGCTGATTGTAGGCCTCATCATCACCCTGGCACTGGGCGTCCGCAAGTGAGGAGGGGCCTTGTACAGTGGGTCCTCCAGGAAGACCAGGCACTGTCCCTGTCCCCAGCCTGCCTCCTCCCAGGCCTCAGTCACTTGCCTTCAGCTCCTTCAGTGCGTTTACCTCCCTCTCTCTGCCTCCCCTCCCAGAGCCCTTTCCTCCCTCTGTTCCTCTCTCTGCACCTCCTCATGTCTCACCTTCTAGCACCCCCTATTATTCCCCTCACCCCACTCCTGTCAGAGCTGATTTTCCTCCTGTCTCACTCTAACACCCATAATACCCACCTCCTCCTTCCATGAGCTCAGTCTCGACAATAAAGGCTGATCCACTTCTGAGTGTGTATATCCCTTTAATGGGCTCCCATGGGTGTGAAACTATAGAATTCATGTCCACCCCACCCCACCCCCCGCCCCAAACCTCAGAGTGGCTCCTTCCACAAGGGAGGCAGGCAGGGGCAGAGCTCTCAGTCCCACACCTGGGCTGTAGGTTTTGCATCCTGCATAGTACTAAGTAGATCACCCAACGGGGACAGGGGCAGGGCTGGGGGTGGAAGCTGAGGCTAAGGCACCAGGTGAGAGCCTAGAGGCCTGAGTGCCTGGAGTGGGCGCTACAGAGAAGAGGGAAGTACTGGGGAGCCAGGTGTGGTGGTTCGCACCTGCAATCCTAGCTACTTGGGAGGCTGAGATCAGGAGGATCTCAGTTTGAGGCCAGCCCAGGCAAATAGTTGCAAGACTCCATTTCCAAATTAACCAGAGCAAAATTCACTGGTGTAGCTCAAGTGTGAAGTCTTGAGTTCATACCCCAGTCTCTTCAAAAAAAAAAAAAAAGAAGAAGTACTGAGAAAGGCTTTGTCTGAGAAAAGGGGCCAGCCAGGTTGAGGCCCAAGGACAGGGCAAAGGGGCTCCAGAAGGTGACAGCAGATCTGAAAGGACCCTAGCTGGAGGTCCAAGAGTGGCACAGTGCAAGAAGTGAGGGACAAGGATAGGAGCGTCATCCTCATTCACTTTTGTCTCTTCAGTTCACTGTGTTCCTTACAAGGATCAGTCATCTTTATGTTGCTCTCAGGGTAAAGACCAAAATGTTCAAGGTGACCTTTAAGGCCAGGTCTGATGTATGCCATAACGTCCCCTCAGCTCTTACCACCATGCCTTCAGTATCCAGTGTTCCCTCTTGCCTCAGGGCTTTTGCACGGACGTCAAATGCCCGAACTGCTCCGGTGACTGCTCTCAACCTCATCTCTACTCCTGTTTGCATAGTTAGTTCACTGTCCCATCTCCAGAAAAGCCTCTGACCTCTATCTCCCCCCACCCCTGCCACTGGGCAGGCTTCCCCTATCCTGAGTCAGTGTTACCATGGTTTATAACTATGTATCTTGTGATTATTTGACTATCTCCCCCATCAGACTGTGAGTTTCCTAAGAGCCACTGTTTTGCTCCTAGGGACCTGCAGTACCTTCGTTCCCCAGCTCCTGGAACACAGCAGATACCTAACTACTTGCTGAATAAGTGAATGAGCAAGGGAATTAATGAATGAACAAGACCCTAAAGAGGAGGAAGGTGCTAGGAGAGTGCCAAAAGCTCTGAGAAGGCCATCAGAAAGGATTCACATGGGGGTTGGAAGATGCTGGCACCATAGTCTTCTTTTTATTTTTTTGGTGGTACTGGGGTTTGAACTCAGGGCCTCATGCCTGCTAGGCAGGTGCTCTACCACTTGAGCTCCAGCCCCAGTCCAGAAATTAGTTATCTTCACAACCCCCTTCTAGAGTAACCCAGAGACCTGGAGAGGGAGGCAACGAACAGAAGAACAATCCAACATCTTTTGCTCCACAAATACTGGCTGAGTGTCTGTTGTGCACTTGGTGCTACCGAAGGAGCTAGGCATAATCTATGGAAAGACATGGTCCCGTGGGATTCACGTGAAAGAGACAGAGCCCCCAAAGGCAAGCAATTAAATATACACTATGGAAAGGGCTGAGAACAAGAAAGGAGTGGACCCTGGAGTCCTTAGTTTGGGTGGGCCTAACTGAGCTGGGGCCTGAGGTCCAGAGGATCCGGGTCCATTGGCCATGCAGAGAGGAAAGGTGGGCTTGCTTCCCCACCCTCACTGTGTTGGTCCAGGCAGAACTGAGAGTCCTGCTCTCTTTTTGGCTGATAGGGCCTCGAATTTGCCTGGCAGGTGCTTTACCACTTGAGCAACACCCCCAGCCCTTTTTTGTTTTTACTTATTTTTCCAATTTCAGATGGAGATTCTCCTACCTATGCTTCCCATGCACCTGGGACCACAGGGACACAGCACCATGTCCTGTTTATTGGGGTGATGGGGTCTTACTAAACTTTTTGCCTGGGCTGGCCTCGAACCTCTATCCTTCTAATATCTGCCTCCTGAGTAGGTGAGATTACAGGTGTGTCTGGGAGCCCAGCATGCTTGTGCTGTAGGAGGAGCATTACAGTGGGAACCAAACTGTGGTGCATATAAGCGTCATCTAAGCAGCTTTTAAAAATCCTGTGAGGGAAATTAATGTGAGTCAACTCCCTGTATAGCTATCCTTATCTCAACCAGCAAAAACCCTTGTTCCTTCCTATTATTGCTTATACTCTCTCTACAACAAAATTAGAGATAAGGGCAAAATAGTTTCTGCTGGGTATTGAGGGGGTGGGGGAGAGAGGGAGGGGGCGGAGTAGGTGGTAAGGGAGGGGGTGGGGGCAGGGGGGAGAAATGACCCAAGCATTGTATGCACATATGAATAAAAAAAAAAATCCTGTGAGGCCCTGAGTTCAAACTCCAATACCAAAAAAAAAAAAAATCCTGATGAGGAGCAGAGTGGCTCCAGTGGTAGAGCACCTGCCAAGCAAGAGTGAGGCCCTGAGTTCAAACCCCAGTACCACTAAAAAAAAAAAAAAAAAACAAAACAAAAAGAAGATCAGGGTTCAAGGCCAGCCCAGGCACATAGTTTGGAGACTCCATCTCCAAAATAACCAGAGCAAAATAACTGGAGGTGTGGCTCAAGCAGTAGACTTTTGCAAGCACAAAGCCCTGAGTTCAAACTCCAGTCTCACCAAAAAAAAAAAAAAAAACAGTCCTGATGACCATGTCACACCCCATACCAGAATCTGAATGACTAGGAATGAAAGCCAGGCATTAGTATTTTTTGAAGACCTCCCCCCTCCACCAGGAGACTCCACTGTGCAGCAAAGTTTGGGCATTACTGTTTTATATATATATACATATATGTGTGTGTGTGTGTATATTTACTATTGTAACGTTATTTATTTAGTTTTGAGAAAGGGTCTGAGTAGCCCAGGCTGTCCTTAAACTCCCCTCAGCATTGCAAGTGCCGGGATGACAAGGGCGCGCATCACACCTGGCCTATTTTAATCACCTTTGCGTGTGGATTTAGCGGTACTAAGCACTTTTTCTGTGTGCTTTGTTCTTAGTGATGCTGGGGATGAACCCAGATGTCAAATCTACCACTGAACCACACCCTCTTCGTGGTATTAAGTAATTTACGTTGTGTGCAAACGTGACAGCTATCCATCCTCAGAGTCTTTCATCACCCTGAATGGAAACTCTGAACCCATTAAATAATAGCTCTCTGTCACCTCCTCCTTCCCCAGTCCCTGGCAACCACCACTCTACTCTGTCTCTGTGATTTGGTTATTCTAGGTACCTCATATAATTGTAACCTTGTGAGTCTGGCTTTTTGCAGTACTGGGTTGGACTCTACCATTTGAGTCACGCCCCCAGCCTGTGTCTGGCATGGTTGTCTTCATGTTGTAGCACATGTCAGAATTCTATTCTTTTTCAAGGGTGAATAATATACCATCATCTGTATTTACCATATTCATCCCTGGGGCTGTTTCCACCTTGTGGCCACAGTGAATAATGTTGCAGTGACATACAAATATCTGTGTAAGTCTCTGCTTCAATTCTTTTAGTTATATAACCAAAGAATTGGAATTGCTTGATCATATGACAATCCAGTTTCATTTTTGAAGAGCCCTGCTGTTTTCCAAGCTGTTGAGCCATCTTCCATGCCCACCAAGGGCTCCAGTTTCACCACATCCTCACTGACACTTGTTTGTTTGCCTGCTTTATAATGGACATGTCAGTGAGTATGAAGTGTATCTCATTGTGGCTTTTAATTTCCATTTCTCTCTCTCTCTTCTCTCTCTCTTTTTTTTTTTTTGTAGTACTGGGGTTTGAACTCAGGGCTTTACACTTGCTAGGCAGGCACTCTACAATTGAGCTACTCTGTCAGCCCTCTTTTGTGCTAGGTATTTTCAAGATAAGATCTCAGAAACTATTTGCTCTAGGTTGGCTTTGAACCTCCATCCTCCTGATCTCTGCCTCTAGAGTAGCTAGGATTATAGGCATGAGCCACTGAAGCTGGGCTTTATTTGCATTTCTCCAATGATTGCTGAGGCCATCATACAAACAGCTTCTTGGCTGTTTGTATATCTTCTTTGGAGAAATATCTATTCAAGTCCTTTGCCTTTTGTTTTGTTTTTGTCATTTGTTTGGTTTCATTTTGTAGCCCCAATTGGCCTTGAATTCCCTAAGTAGCCCTATGCTGGCCTCGATCTCACTATCCTCCTTCTAAGCCTCCTAAGCGCTAGGATGACAGGTGTGTGCCACCACACTCAACTTGGTCTTGAACACCTTGGGTGCAAGAGATCCTCCCAAATCAACTTCCTGAGTAGTCAAGACTGTATGCATGTATCACCATATTCAGATCAAATATTTAACAAAAATGGTTCTGATCTAATAGAATCAACAGGTAACACGATATAGACTGGAAGAGCTCTGCTAGGAGAACCCAGGATTCCACAGCAAGGAAGCAGAGGTGCTTCCTCAACTACTGACCAAATGTGGGACAATTTCAGGATTTAAGCAAATATCAGGGGTAAGGGAGGGGGCAGGAGGAAGGGGGGAGAAATGACCCAAACCTTGTATGCACATATCAATAAAATAGAAATTAAAAATTAAAAAAAAACAAATATGGGCCAAGTACA